TCTTTTCCCACACTGATCATTATTTTTCTACTGAATTTTTTCTTCCTACACTGAACATTTTCTTTCTACCAAAAACTTGGATTTCTTTAGATATGTCAATAACATTAGTTGGGGTACAATCAAGCCTGCTTTGGACCAGGCAAATGTTCTGTCTTTTTAAGGAGGTCTCTTTAAATATTGATCTCATACTTGACATAGTATTCTTATAGTTTAACTTCACATTTCTAAGGGTACTTCACTGTCTAAGGATCACTTGTAAACAACAACTTGATTCATAAGGTATTAATCATAGGAATTCTCTGGGCCTTTTTCTTCATCTGGGGATAGTTTCACAGTATTTTCCAAGCAACTATTGACAAGGGTACTTTTAAAGATTGATCTGAAAGTCTCGTTGAGATGCCAGCAGAAATATAAAGATCAAGGTACCTACTATGTTGTTTTCCTCAGATTACAACCAATAGTCTTCTAGATTAGTTTTCTCTCCCCCCTCCTAGTAAAATACATTTTAAAGAGAAGTAACACTGAAAATGAGGACTCAAAATAAAATAGCTACAAAAATAACTCAGAAATTAGCAACCAAAGGAGAAAGTTACATCACTTACCCCTGAAACAATCATCTGAAGCTTCTTGCCATGCCTGCCCATTAATGCTGACATTCTCTTGCACAGCAGATTCAAAAGTCTGCAATACATTCACAATAGTAATGTCACTAAAAGTAACTTTAAATACTGAATTTAAACATTTTGGCAAGATAATCTGTTTGTTTTTTGTTAATCCTTGCTGAGGATATTTTTTCCATTGATTGCTAGAATGGAAGGGAAAGAAGGTGGGAAGAGAAAGAAACACTGATGTGAGAGAGACACATGGATTGGTTGCCTCCCAACATGCCCCAACTGGGGGCGGGGATCACACCTGCAACCCAGGTACGTGCCACCCTTGACTGGAATCAAACCCTTTGGTGTGTAGGCCAACACTCTAACCACTGAGCAATGCCTGCCAGGGCATAGTTTCAGATTTGTGAAAGAGAATATTTAAAAAGTAGCAGACTAGCCTATTAGTATACTATTTTCAATGAAGATTCCATTGCAATTAATTCTACCTACACTTTCACTGATAGCCATTAAGCTACCTATGAGATAATTCAATCCAAAATTTCAGAATATTCTTTCAAACAAAAATATATATACTTCTTGAATGAAATAAAAAAATAAAAGCTAACAAATTTAGGCTCAGTTGAATCTCAAGAGTGTAAGTACTACATATGCTGTGAATGAACGTCATTGTTAACAAGAAGAAAAATATATATGCTTAAAAGAAAGTGAAATTATGTCTGCTTTATAAAGGACTGTATTTTTTAGAGATGTATACTGAAATATGTAGGATGAAATCACATGACATCTCGAATTTGTGTGAAAATAAGAAGTAACAAATTTTTGATAACTGTTAAATTTGGTGATGGATATATGGGTGTTCACTGTACTAGTCTATTTTTTTGTAGGGAAAGGCAGAGAGGGTTGGTGGGTAGGAGGTAATCAACCAAAGACCTTATATGCATATATGCATAACCCATGGACACAGATAATAGGGTGCTGAAGGCCTGGGGCAGGAGTGGGGGGTGAGGGCAGGCTGGAGGGAGTCAATGGGGGAAAAAAGGGACATATATAATACTTTCAACAATAAAGAATTATTTTTTTAAATGTTAATACATTAAAAAATAAAGGACTGCCCTGGCCAGTGTTGCTCAATGGTATCAGCCTGCAAACTTAAGGGTCAGGGGTTCAATTCACTTCCCAGCCCTGTTCGGGGCATGTGCAGGAGGCAACCAATCAATGTTTCTCTCTCACATCGATGCTTCTCTCTCTCTTGCCCCCCCCACCCCCACCTCCACTCTTTTTCAATGGTAAAAAAAAACCCTAGGGTGAGAATTAACAAAAACTAAAAGAAAATAAAAGATTAAAGGAATATGGAAGCACCACTAAAATTCTGAATGCACATTCCCTATTATCTAACAACTAGAGGCCTGGTGCACAAATTCATGCAGGGGTAGGGTCCCTAGACCTGGCCGGAGATCAGGGCCGATCTGTGGGGCGACCGGCAGGGCAATCAGGAGGCCCCTGCTGGCACCCACCTTGGCCAGCCTGGCGCCACCCCCGCCCCTCACCGCTGCTGGTTGCCTCCCTCTGCGCAGCAACTGGCAGGGTGGACAGGGGGCCCCCACTAGCACCCACCTTGGCTGGCCTGGGGCCTGCAGGCTGGGGACAGCTCCTGTGTTGAGCATCTGCCCCTTGGTGGTCAGTGCGCATCATAGCGACCGGTCATCTCATTATATAGGATGAGAATAGTCCTTTAGGTTAGGATACATTGCTAGAAGTGAAATCCTAATATAATAAAAAGCTAATATGCAAATGACCAAACAGCTGAACGACTGGTCGCTATGATGCACACTGACCACCAAGGGGCAGACACTCATCGCAGGAGCTGCCCCCTGGTGGTCAGTGCGCTCCCACAGGGGAGCACTGCTCAGCCAGAAACTGGGCTCACAGCTGGCGAGCGTAGTGGCGGGAGCCTCTCCCACCTCCACAGCGGCGCTAAGGATCCTTCGGGGATCCCAGACTGCGAGAGGTCACAGGCAAGGCTGAGGGTCCCCCTTCCCCTGCCCCAGTGCACAAATGTCATGCACCGGGCCTCTAGTAAGAACATAAAGAGGATGCACTAGGAATGTTTATTTTAGCACTGTTTGAAATTATAAAATACTGAGGAGAAAAATCACAAAATTTAAATTCAAAATTAGAAGAATGGTTAAATATTCAATATATCCATACCATGCAATACTTAAAAAGAACGAAGTATATTTGTACATAATATTGACAGACATGTTTGGTAAAAGAAAAAAAAAATGGGGGAGAGCAGGTTGCTAACAATATATCAGCATGACACTTAATGTTTAAAACAAAACAAAAAACAGAGAGGGGGTGAGAGAGAGATGTAAAACCATAAAGAAGGGTGTAGAAGGATTATAACCTCTATGGACCCTCCAAAATAGTAAATTCTTTCCAGGAAAGAAGAGGGATGGGGAAGGGAAATTCAAAGGCTTTGCTTTATGTTATTTTTTTTTTTTTACAATGAGGATATATTTGGTATTTTGTATAATTGAAAATAAGCATAAATCAAATAATGCATAATTATGAGATAAAGTACATTATTTTACACTTTAAAATTTTTATAAAGTAAAATATTTACTTTATATGTCAACTTCCAAGGATTACCTGGGAATACAAATTGTCATTGTAGTACTGGCACAATTGTACCAATACTATTTTTTTTAAGAAAACCTGTTACTATATTATGTGGTTTTAGACAGAGGTACATGAACATAATTAAAGCCTCTGCCTTTTATTTGTTCTCCTATTTAAAATAAAACACAAGTCGACTCCCTTGGTCGTTTACCTTCGAAGTTCCCAGAAAGGGGAAACCTCTAAGATCGTTACACAATAAAACAGTCTCCTTCCCAAAAAACCACTGAGAGCGTCTATTCTTCCCTTGGTTACAGGAGGGAATAAGAGCCACTGTTTACACAAAACGGGAACACAGCACAACTCGGGGAGGATTTCTTCATTCGCCTTCCACTTCACCTTTATTTTTATTGTTTGCATTGTGATCATTCACGCTCACAGGTGTGCTGCACTTAAAATTTTTAAGCTTTTTTTTTCCTACATATAAAATGTGTGCTTTGTTATGACAGCCACCAATCCCTCCATTTGTTGTACCTTTCCCCTAAAAAAAAAACAAACAAAAAAAACCTATCTTCAAAGGCTTTATTTACAAAATATTTGAGAAAGGAAGGGGAAATATGCTCTAAGGGCCAGTTATGATCTTAGGAGAAGTTTAAAATCAAGACAGCTTCCTTATCTAGTTTAGACTTATAGGGGAGACGTTTTCACTCTCTTCACAAGATATTCTTTAAAAAACAGGCAAAAGGAAAGGCCAAAAGCTAGCCTGGTGCCCGACTGACTTCCAGGATTCCCGTTCCTGGAGAAATCCTCCCGGAGTCTGCGTGCACGCGAACCGGGAGCTGCCAGGCCTTGAAAGGCGGCTCATCCCAAAGAAGATGAGCTGTCCGTTTCGGACACCAAATGCGAAAAGCTGGGCACTAACAAAAGCACGAAAAATATCTCCTTCGGGTTTTTAAAATTATTATTATTAAATTAAAACGCTATCTTGGTCATAGTGGGTTAAGTAAAACATGTTATTGCCGTTAATTTCACCTGTCTTTTCTAACTTTTAATAAGTTACCTACATAGCTCGCCTTGTTCTTTTCTATTGGGCAGCGTGGGTCTCTCTAGGTAACTAATGCCCGGCGGCCACTAGATCTATTTCGTCCCCTCGCGCTCCTCGGGCTGCTCTTCCTGAGCGTGGGCACCGCTAACTCTGCCCGCGCAGCCTCTCGAGCCCCGAGACCGGGGAAGAGGGTGAAACGACAAGTGCCGGCTACTGGGCCCGTACCCACTGCGCGTCTCGCAGCGCGGGCTCCCGAATCTCCTCCGGCAGCGCGTCCCCGAGCTGTCGCACGAAGCGGCCGCACAGTTCCACCAGCTCCAGCACGGCCTGCTTCGAGGTGCAGCGCACGCGGAAGTCCTCGCGGGGAGTGGCGGGGCCCGGGGTGCGGTCTTCTGTCCCGGCCGCTCGCTCCCCGTCCCGCGGAGGCGAAAGGCTCACCAACTCGGGAGCCCCCGCCATTTTCCAGTTTAAAGCGGGGGCGGGAACTCTGGGAGCGGAAGCGAGTGCCACCGGGGGAAAGTGTCCGGGTGCAGCCGGAAACTCAGAGCGCCGCCGCAGCGAGGTTCCGGGCCGAGGCTGCGCGGGCGGATTCCAGGGCGACGCCAGCCGCGGCGATGGGGGCGGTGGGCGGAGGGCTGGTGGACTGCCACTGCCACCTTGCCGCCCCGGACTTCGACCGCGTATGTGAGGGCGAGGCCGGGCCGTGGGAGCGGGGAGACCCCCGGTCCCCCATACTTGTCCGGGCTACCTTTGCTCTCCTTTCTTAGGACGGAGCCCCAGACTCACCCAGGCCGGTCTGTCGCTGCACCGACTTGCTCCTGACTCCCTATTTATTAACCGCAGTCGTACTGATCTTTCTTTCCGATCTGCATAGCCTAAGCCCGGTGTCTCCTCTTCCTTTTGCTGTTGCCGGTTACCGGAGTTCTTCCCCCTACCCGCGCTTGGCCCGGCTGGGAATCCACTTTTCCTGACCCCCTGCAAACAGAAAGAACAATACACACACCAGATCAGAGTTACAAAGTGTCTTACCCGCTCTATTGGAAACCAGAGGCTTCTAATGGAGAAGGAAGAGCGGAGTCTGTTCAAACAGAAGATGGGTGTAGGGCAGTGATGACCGCTGGCAGGTTGACCTGGCACATTGATGCTACCAAATGCTGGATGGAGCGTGATGGGCTAGAAAGAGGCATGAAAAAGACCGAAGAGGTTTGCAGAGACAGGTGTGGTCGGTCAGTAAGGAGTTTGGGTTTCATTAAAACAACAATGCGAATCTTGTCTTTTTTTTTTCTTTAAGAGAATGACAAGATCTGATATCCATTTACTAATAAAAGAATTTTGCTGATGTGTGGCAAACAGGAAAGCGAGGGTGGAAGCTAGAAAACCAATTTGGAAGCTTCTGCAGTATATAGACAAGAGGTGATGGTGGGTGCAGGGGAGTTTGAGAGAAGCAGATGGATTGAAGGTATATTTTAGAAGTAGGATCTATGTGCTGGGAATTGGATGTGGAGAAGGAGGGGAAGCGAGGACTTGATGCTGTAGGGAGGACCGTGGTGCTGTTTCCTGAGCTGAGGGAAGGCCGAAGGAAGAGGTTTGTTGGGGAGAACACAGAGTTGGCATTTGTTGGAGCCTAAGATCCATCCAAGTGGAGATGTCATATTGTCATCCTTTTTTTTTTCAAAAAAAGGTTTTGTTTTTTTTACATTTTTCTTTATAGTCATTCTTAAATGTGAATCTCGGGTAGTGGAAAGAATTATAGGCTGAAGGTAACCACCGGGGACTCATTAGCATAGTAATGAATGACTCTTAAACCCGTGGGTAAGATCGCTTCAGGGGAGTACAGAGAGAGGAGCACAGGGTCCTGAAGTCAGAGGAGAAAGAGCCAGTCAAGAAGACTGAAAAGTAGCAGCCAATAAAAGAGTGGTGTTTGCAGGTGAGCAGTGTTGCAGAAGCCAAGCGTGGAAAATATTTCAGGAAGGGAGGGGTGGATACCTGAGGAGCTCCTAAATCAGGGGTCCTCAAACTACGGCCCGCGGGCCACATGCAAATACAAATACTGTATTTGTTCCCGTTTTGTTTTTTTACTTCAAAATAAGATATGTGCAGTGTGCATAGGAATTTGTTCATAGTTTTTTTTTAAACTATAGTCCGGCCCTCCAACGGTCTGAGGGACAGTGAACTGGCCCCCTGTTTAAAAAGTTTGAGGACCCCTGCCCTAAATGCTGCTGAGGGGTAAGTAAGAGACAGGGAAGTGCCCTCCACAGTTGACAGTAACAGTTTCTGTCTCAGTGGAGTGGAAACAGATGCCAAATGTTACTAAGAGAAGGAAAGAGGAAATGAAAGGTGGGTCAGTCAGTGTAGGCTCTTCACATTCTACCACACAGTTCCTTGCCATCGTTGTCATTCTTTACGGTGCCTCAACTACTAGTACAGTGATATACACAGCCAAAGAGCAGCTACTTATTCATCTAAAATAATTGTGATAACTTGTGCTTATTTTAGGATCTGGATGATGTGTTGGAGAAAGCCAAGAAAGTAAGTCAATATCTATAATTGCCCTTTTTTGGTTTTTGTTTTAGATATGCTATGTTAATGCTTCAGTAAGAATAAGTTGCATTTATTAAGTGTTTACTGTGTGACAAGTACTGACCTAAGCCCTTTCTGTACATTATTTCATTTAATGTTTCACAACCACCTTCTGAGGAACCTTCTATTTTTTAGGCAGCTATTGCCCATTTTGTAGATGAGGAAACTAAGGCCTAGAGACTAACTTTTCCAAAAACATACCGCTAGTAAAATGATACAGACAAGATAGTCTGAATCGAAACATTGCCGGACTCCATTCATTGTCTTCACTAGCTGAGTTTAGACAGACCCCCAAAAGCTAGTAACCTTTGAAGTCCTAGCAAAGGTCAGAACTGTGCACCACCCAGTTAATCTAGGAACCACCCAGTTAATTTAGGTAATAATAGTTGAAGCATCATCCCCACCTTAGTTCACTTAATTCCTTAGATACTTATGTAGATCCTTATTGACTATTGTTGATCAGATACTCTGCCTATTCCTGGAAATCATCTACTGATGAGCTAATCAGATACTTTGTCTATTCCTGGAAATTGTCTGCTGATCTGGGTGTCATTGAAACCTCCTTACCCTAAGGGCTACTCCAGATCGATAAAAGATTGGAGCAGCCTGAGCATGGGTGGAAGTCCTTCGGGACTTGCCCGCCTGGTCCCCCAATATTGCAAAATTATCTCGTGTCATTTTTCTCTCATTGGTTGTGCGGCTCCTCTTTCAGATACGGAACCCTACTCCACGCAGAACGTGGAGGGAGTGTTACTCGACAAAACATGTTCCCCCAGCCATCATACTTACCAGCAATATGGAACAGATTATCCGTCTGTTGGTTCTAAAATTAACATTACCCTGGGGATTTTGGAGAAATGATAAAAGTTTTGGGAACCATTTTGATTTGTTTGAGAAAAATTATTAATTTTTGGAAGTGCTTATGAAATTCATTATCACTAGCATTTCATGGTCTTCCCCCAAAGTATTAGTTTAGAAGCAGCTGCCAGTATATTTTTATATTCAAGCACCTTTCACTATGACATTAATTAGGAGTGTAGGCTTTGGAGTTACACAGTCCTAATGATCTTGGGCAAATTATTTCACTCCATCCAGAATTCTGTCTCCTGATCTATACAATGGATTATAGCAATGCCACCTCATAAGGTTGTATAGATTAAACTGAGGTAATATTTTTTTTTCACTGAACACAGTGCCCGAAACATAATAAGTATTCAGTGATAGCCATTATGATTATACTGACGGAGTATGGATGAGCAAGAATAACTAAAAGCACAGAAAACTTTATAATTCTGTTTAATTATATTGGATGTATATTGCTCAAAACTCTAGCTAGTCTATTCTGTTCTTTTTTTTATTTCAGGCCAATGTTACGGCTCTTGTGGTGGTCGCTGAACATTCAGGAGAATTTGAAAAGATTATGCAGCTTTCAGAAAGGTGTGACTTCTCATTAAGAACTTAAAGAGTTGCTAATAAGGATGCAGTTATGATGTCATGTTCATGATATCAAAGATTATCCATTTTTAAAGAGAAAGAGAAGGAAAATATTAACATAGCCCTAAAAAAATATTTCCTACTTATTCTTTAGAGTAACATTGTCTGCTAGTCTAATATTCGGCTTCTCAATTCATTCTACACTGTTAGGTATAACAGGTTTGTCCTGCCATGCTTGGGTGTTCATCCAGTTCAAGGACTTTCACCAGAAGGACAAAGAAGTGTCACATTAAAGGTAACAGTAACAGATAAAACAAGAACCATGGAACATGATAATACCTTTGACTCAGTAGTCCTTCACTTTCTGATTTATAGTGTAAGACAATAATCTAAAAGGAGGCAATGCTACCTTCTTTCCCAGAGATGTTTGTTGCAGAATTACCTGTAATAGAGAAAAAGGGGGAATAGCTTAAGGGTTCAGAAATAAAGGAATAATTAGTTCGCTTATAGAGTAGTAAATATAATGCATTTATTAAAAATGAAGACTATAAGCCCTAACTGGTTTGGCTCAGTGGATAGAGCGTCAGTCTGTGGACTCAAGGGTCCCAGGTTCGATTCCGGTCAAGGGCATGTACCTTGGTTGCGGGCACATAGCCAGTAGGGGGTGTGCAGGAAGCAGCTGATCGATGTTTCTCTCTCATCGATGTTTCTAACTCTCTATCCCCTCCCTTCCTCTCTGTAAAAAAATCAATAAAATATATTTTTTTTAAAAAATGAAGACTATAAAATTTATGTAGTAACATGGAAAATGTTTGCAGTATAATATAGGGAGAAAAGCAGGATACAGACGGTTTATTCACAATGAGTGGCATCATGTAAAAATATATCCTATAAGGAAAAGACTGTAAAGAAAAACAGAAATGATAGTAGTTGTGACAATCTTGTAGAATTACATGTGATTTGTTTTTACTTTTTTTTATCACATTGTTATATTGATTTGGCAGAAAGGTGATAAAGTATCCAGAGAAAGAAAGATACAAATTCATAGATGTAGTACTGTGAGGGAACAGATGAGCTGAAGTACACAGTATCTTTGAACGTTGAACCATCCCTATAGGAGTGATCTTGATCTACTAAACTGCATGGCTTTCATACCCTCTCTAAAAAAGATCCTACCCATGAGATATCACTGACTCACCATAGCCTTGACTCCTGACTCAGCATTGGGGAGATGCACAGTTTCTTGAGTGCTTTATTACATATTGGGATCAACAGCCCCATTTTGAAAAAGTGAAGACTTTGTGTTATCTATGAATAAATTAAGAGATGAGGTCCATTCTTTCGTAATAACGAATCTGTATCCTTACATTTGAATACCCTAAGTAGCTCTACTTATTTTGCAACAAAATTACATTGAATTCAACTTCATGTAAAAATAAATACTTATTCTGTAACTCTCCTGAGTTGTTGATGTGATAAAATTTCCCCAGAGAGTTACAATTCCGGAAATGTTGGGGCTCATAGCAGGATGGCGTTTGTTTCATTTATGTAGAGCTTTATAGCTATAGGCATTCATTTCGTTAGTCAACCAAGTGTGTACTGAGCTCCTACTGCATTCCAAGCACTTTAGAGTAATATCCCTCTCATGAAAGTAGGTTCTAGATGGAGGCAGACAATCAGCAATTAGATACATGAACAGGAAAACTTTTGGTAGCACTAAGTGCTTTAAAGACAATAAAATAAGATTATGTGACAGGGATTGTGGATGCTAGTTTTTAGATTGTGTAGTCAAGGAAGGCCTGTCTGAGGCGGTGACATTTGAACTGCAACCTGAATTATCCTCAGAGGTACCTTGCAACTTACATATCTTAAAAGAAGCAAATTTTCTACATATTTGCCTTTCCCTTGTCTGAAGAGGGAAACCTCAGAGGGCAAATTCTCTAAGTGTAATAATAATAGTATGGAAACTAATGGTACACAGTTACTTCAATGATTACAGACAAGCACATATATGATACTTAGTGTTTCTATTGTTGAACCTGTAGAACAAAAATAGGCTAAACAGGATTATCAAGACAAAAGAAATCAGTGCAAAGAGTACAAAGAGTGTATGGGATTATCACTATGACAAACTCACAAACCAATGTTACCCTAAAAGGAGAACATAATATAATGCACTCCCCAAACCTCACTTACAAAGGTGGCTTTCTTCTCTCTTGCTCAGCTATTCCAGGAAATCATATCAGTCCTTCTATATGCTAGGAAATGCCTCCTAAACAGAAGAAAGTGTTTAAGTGTGAATCTTTATAAACGGTTTCATTCCTGTGACCTGAATAGGTATGGGATACTATCCAGATAGAAGTACTCACCGTTCTAGAATTACTATTCCTAGTTCCTCAACTGGTTAAAGGAATAGAATATATGTAAAGAACCAATACAGCATAGTGCCTGGCATTTAATAGGTATTTATAAAATATCAGTTTCCTTCTCCGTCTGTTTTAACAAATTACTTTGTTTTCTCCCAGGATTTGGATGTAGCTTTGCCCATTATCGAGAATTATAAGGATCGATTATTGGCAATTGGAGAGGTAAACACCCATTAACTGATCAAATGACTTCTGATTCAGACTTTCATGTGATATAGGAAAAGAATCTTTAATTCAATATTGGTGATTATAACTAACTTGGATAATTATGTTCACCCCATCCAGCTGAATAATAACTCATCAATACTTCCTCAATAAGCAAAAGAGCTTGGGGATGAAACAATAGAAAGCCTCATCATAGGCTTATGTTAATACTTTATTATCATTTCTATATACTATGCTCTTTTTTTGCTTAAATATGGGTCATCTCTCTAGTTAGTTAAAGTAGTATATACAAAGCATACTTTAAAGAGGCTAGAGTGTAGTCAACATTTTTATTAAATAATTTACGGTTGTAAAACATTTTTATCACTTGGTAATAAATTCCACTTCTAATTAAAGATAAAGATAAGAGATAAGAATAACAGTTAAATTCAGAATATAGATTATAACAATGAATGCCAAAATATATCAAGGAAAGCAGTCATTTGTAATCTTTCCTGTTCGCTGTGATGACCACATGTAGCTATTGAGCACTTGAAATGTGACTGGTCCAGATTGAGATGTGCTCTAAGTATAAAACACACAGAGGATTTCAAAGTCTTAGCACCCCAAAGAAAGAATGTAAAATAACTCAATAATTTTTATATTGCTCATGTGTTGAAATAATGCATTACTATATAATAATAATGATAATGTTTGGGGGTATACTGGATTAAATAAAGTATATTATTAAAATTAATTTCACCCATTTCTTGTTAGTGTTTTTAACGTGGCTAACTAGAAAATGTGAAGTTATATATGTGGCTTGCACATATGGCTCCCATTATCTTTCTCTTGGATTGTACTGCTCCATAATATGCCTTTTTGGGTTCATTAAACCATGAAAAATGTAATTCTATTTGACTTTTCTGTTATAGGTGGGACTGGATTTCTCCCCCAGATTTGCTGGCACTGATGCACAAAAGGAAGCGCAAAGACAAGTCCTAATCAGACAGGTCCAGTTAGCCAAAAGACTAAATTTGCCTTTGTAGGTTAATTAACCATCTTCCGATATTAAATGCTATAGAGCAAATTAAAATGATTCTTTTGAAATGGAGCTCTCTATTTCTTTTTCTCTTAATTACTTTAATAGAACAAAATAATGTCACATTAAGTACTTAAAAGGAATTTTTTTGTTGTTAAACAGAAATGTTCACTCACGTTCAGCTGGAAGACCCACCATCAGCCTCTTAAATGAGCAAGGTATTTACATCCTGAGACAGATGTGCCTAAAGTTTACGTTTGGTATTCCAGTCCATCTTCTCATAGAACAGGCCATGTTTTAATATGATTTCTTAAACGAAAGGAAATAGGGGAAGGGAGAAAGGGGAAGTCAACTAAAGTGGTTTTACAAGTCAGTCTACTTTTTACAAGGTTTTTTCAGTGTGATTGTGATATTTATAATCATTTGCCAGGGTAAAACAAATGAAAAATTGGATTAAGTAATTTATAATCCTAAAATTAAAATGTATCTTATAGCATTACTTTTCAAACTTTTTGAAGTGATACGAATATATACACATATCTACTTTTTTTGGTATTAAAAGTATGTGTATACACTGGTCAGTCTTGACCCACTAGATGGCTTTCATAACTCACTTGTGGTTATAACCCACTAATGGTCATACCTGCCATTCGAAAAACAGTATCAAATAGTGAAGTAAATGTACTTGCCTACATCTAGAAAGCATGGTATTTCCCAGTGATGAGTGCTGAACCCTTTGGGATCACTGAGAGCATGATTTTTACGCAGGTTGAGCAGCCATTCTTTAAGAACCAGAGGCGATTTTATGAAGCTAATGCTGATTAGTCAATTTGTGACTCATTTAGCTCCCCATTTCCTCTTCCACTAGCATTCTCACTGAGGACTATTTGACTGCTTAAAAACCTCCTATTAGGAACAATAATTTGACCGTTCACAAACTTCTGGAAAATGTTTAATGGTATAGGAAGATTAAATAATGGTTTAAAATTTTATATTTCAATTGTATTTAATAATTTTATTCTGAAAGTTAAGAATTGTTATTATATTTCTATTCTACTGTTTGAACACTATATATTTATCCCTCCTTTAGAAGTCATAGAACCTCATATTTATATCACAGTGACCAAATTTCTGATCTTTGCTGTTCAATTTGATTAATGGAAAAACCGCTCATTGAGGACATAAATTGGAATTCTGATCTATCTTTTATTTTTGAGAGGTGCTGACAAAGTGCTGCTCCATGCATTTGACGGTCGGCCATCCGTAGCCATGGAAGGAGTAAAAGCTGGGTACTTCTTCTCGATCCCTCCTTCTATCATAAGGAGTGGACAGGTAAATTCTTTCGTTAAACTTCCACCTATACTTTGTGAAATACACTTTAAAATAAAAGCGTCTATATTTTATATGTAATATAAAATATATATTTTATATATGATATATATTTTATATGTAATATATATTTTTATATAACACTTGTGATATTATTCTAGTTATGTTACAAAAATCAATCTTAGGTCCCTACCTTATGTCAATATCATATTATAATGATTACATTAGATTTATAAGTTTTGAAATCAGATATTATGAGAATTCCAATTATTTCTTTATTTTCAAGATCATTTTGGCTATTCTAAGTCCCTTGCCTTTCCATCTACATTAGAATCAGCTTGATTTCTTAAAAAAAAAAAAAACTGGCTGGGATTTTTATTTGAATTACATTAAATCTATAGATCAATTTGGGAATAATTGATATGAACACACCATACCTCTTTATTTAGATCTTTGATTTCTCTCATCAATGTTTTATAATTTTCAACATACAAATCCTGCACATATTTTGTTATATTTACCCCTAAGTATTTCATATTTTTCATTCTATTTTAAATGATACTGGTTTTAAAATTTTAGTTATCAATTATTCATTGCTAGTGTATAGAAATACAGTTGATTTTTATATATTAAACTTTTATCAAGTGATCTTACTGATATTCACTAGTGCTAGTAGTGTTTTGTAGATTTTTCAGGATTTTTTTGTAGATAATCATGTCATCTTTGAATAAAGATATTTACTTTTCCCCTTCCAATATTTGTGCCCTTTATTTCTTTTTCTTGCCTTATTTCACTGGATACAGCTAGTAGAATGTTGAATAGAAATAGTAAAAGCAGAAACCCTTGCCTTTTTCCTGATCATGGAAAAACATTCATTTCTTTACCATTAAGTATACTATGAGCTGCAGTTTTCTTATAGGGTTTAAGGAAGTTCCTTCTGTTTCTAGTCTGCTGAGTGTTTTTATCAAAAATGGATGTTGGATTCTGTCAAATACTTTTTTGACAATATATTATCCTTTTTATAGTTTCTTAGGTAGAACCTTAGATTATTTGAAACCTTCCTTGTTTTCTAATAAAGATATTTAATGCAATAGTTGAATTAGCACTAACCACATATAGTTACAATCCACAAATATTAATTTGATTGTTATAATGAGGCTCTGTTTCTTCTAGTATAAGTATTGATATGGTCATAGGTTTATTTGTGATCTTTGCTGTATTTTCACTTTCTTTCAGTTCATAATGTTTTCTAATTTACCTTGAGACTTCCTCTTTGACCATAGTGACTATTTAAAAATGTATTGTTAATTTCCAAATACTTAGGAATTTTCCTGATATCTTTCCATTTCTGATACCTACTTTAATTTGACTATGTTCAGGAGACATTCATTGTATGATTTCACCTCTTTTAAATTGGTTGAGGTTTGTTTAATGGCCCAGAATATGATCTATCTTGGTGAAGAGAACATACACACTTCAAAAGAATGTGCATTCTGCTATTATAAGATGGAGTGTTCTACACATGTCACTTTAATTTTTCCTACTTTTAGCTTTTGTGGAAAACCTCTTATTTAGTAGTAACCTTTAGCTGTGGCATGTTTCTTTTTCAAAACTAAAATACATTTAAAGATAATATTTGTACATTATAGAAAATTGAATCAATTCAGAAAAGAACAAATTTTAAATTAATCCAGATTCTACAATTCAGAAACAATCATTGTTAACATTAATTCAGATAAAATAAGAAGATAATCTTACTCTTTTTGTTTTGAGTTAGCTTCATGGGTATCTAATTGTATCAATACATATGGACCTATCTCATCTTTAAAATGATAGTATGATATTTCATAATGTGGATGTACCATAATTTATTTAAGCATTACTTTAAGTAAAGGTTAGACTGTTTCTAATTTTTCACTGTTATAAACAGTGCCTGGCTGAATACCTTTGTACATCTTACATATGCACACTTGTGCAGTTTTCCCTCTAAATGGAATCACTGAGGAAAGGGTGTACATTTTAAAATTTTGGTTAAACTGTTACATTTTCTTTAAAAAGTTTATGCTAGTTTAACTTTTTTCTACCAGCAGTGCATGAGCATACCTATTTCTGTGCCTCTGAAATTTTAATCTTCAAACAATTCATTCTAATAATATTCCACTCTGCATCATGTGTCTCCCCCTGCCATTTTTTACTTTAACAGTGCAGTGGCAGCAAAAGAATTACGTTCTTGGTATAAAACTCATTGGGTTAATTGCAATCCTTATAATCCAGACAGAAAATTAAAAAGAAGAAAACAAAACCATCTACCACCTAATCTAAAACGTGCATATGAACTTTGGATTTATAAACAGAAAGCCCGAGTGGCTTTAAGTGAACAGTAGAAAGAAGCACCGAGTGTGGTGGAGAAGCAACAGAAGTCTCTTCCTGAGCTCTCTCAGTGGGATGGTGATGTCCGGTGTCTGACTTCCTTGCTGGGTGTGCTTTTGGTTACTACTCTCTGGGTCCCTGGAGTCTCTGGATAATTTTTGGCAATGAATGTTGCTATTTAAACCTGTTAGTAATAGAATGAGAACGTAGTGAACATGTATCAATTGAATATTGAAGCATGAATTTTAAGCTCTTGCAGAGTAGAATGCATTGGCATGTGGGTTTAATGTTCTTTTTTAAAAAAAACTCTTTATTACTCCTTTTTTAAACTTACTAGCTTTTTCTTTTCTCTAAGAAGCAGAAACTTGTGAAACAGTTGCCTTTAACCTCCATTTGCTTGGAAACAGATTCACCTGCACTAGGACCAGAAAAACAGGTAAGTCATTTTCTGTTTTCCACATGATTGAGATCAAGCATGTAAAACTCGCAGCCTCGTTATGCCTCGGGCCCACCAGCCGCAAATTTGATATGCTTGATTTAGATTGTGTCTTTCATTTGAGCTATTTTTGATTTGTCTGTGTTTCTCATCACAGTGTAAGTACAATGGAATCCTATTTTAACACTAGGTTGAGAGGTTATATCAACTTAATTTCAGGTCTTTTCTAAATATAATTGTTATGCCCCACAGAATAATATTTGATATGGACCATGTCCTCGTCTATGTGGTAATGAAAGCCAGACCAGTATAGCAAAAAGTTCAATGTCAAGAGTCAGAAAGACCTAGATTCAAATCCTGTCTCTGCTACGCACTAGCTGTTTGACTTTGAGCAAGTTACTAATGTCTCTGAAATGTTCTTCACTTATAAAATGTAAGCAAAATAGTAAATACTTTGAAGTACTATAGTGAGAATTAAATGGAGTAATATATCTAGCAGTATCTGGTATATAGTAAGATGCTCAATAAATGTTTATTTTTCTCCTTTTAATTAGATTGTTATAATGAGGCTCTATTTCTTCTAGTACAAGTATAATAAGTGTATAATATTCCAGTGTGTGAATCTACCACAGTATATTTAACTTGATATTGTGATTTGGGTTGTTTTCAACACAATTATACCTGATGAATGTTATCAGATTATTTTTCTTAAACTTAATCAATATTTTATTCCTCTCAATATTATCATCCTAAGTAGATAACTTAATAACAATAATACATTTCACCAAATCTAAATGTACAATCTAAATGATTGTAGATGCGCCACTGCTTTGAGACGATTAGAATGAAAAAGAAAAACACTTCCAGTTATACAATGACATGTCATTGAATCCAAATAAAATATGTATCAATTTCAGAGATGTTAAAATAGGAGGGAAATACATCTTAGACTCAGTGAAGTACCAGTACGTATCTGTTTAGCCTTCCACATATGTACTGGTACTTCTTGAATGTGAACGGTGACATTTCTTGAATCAAACTGTAATGTATGTAGCCTGTGAGGTGAAGGGGCCAAGCAGCAGAGCAGTGACCTTTACAATCACTCAGTTAAGCAATAAACCAAAGGACAGCTAACCCATCAGTCATGCAGGTTGCCAAGTGTCCACTGTTTGCAGACTGCTAGATGCTGGGACCTCAGTTGTTAATACCCCACGGCTCTTTTCAAGAGCAACATAGACTTACAGTCAGTGTGTAGCTATAGCTTCTAAGCTGAAGTTCAAGACTTTCTCCCCTTATTGCCTCCCACCATCCCCCACCCCCATTAAAAAAAGAACTCATCGGCTGTGTTTACCAACTCATTTTCTTCTATTTTATCTACAGTCTTCAAGGATTGCTTCTTTTGACAATCATGTTTGATTTAGTGTCTGCTTTGTTCTCTTTCAGGTACGGAATGAACCCCAAAACATTACCATCTCAGCAGAATATATTGCCCAGGTGAAAGGAATCTCAGTGGAAGAAGTGATGGAAGTGACAACACAGAATGCATTGAAATTGTTCCCCAAGCTCCAGCACCTGCTCCAGAAATAACTTCAAAGCCAAATGAACTGAAGGGGGCATTTGAGAAAAAGAAATGTTCTGGCCCTAGCTGGTTTGGCTCAGTGGCTAGGCAGTGATGACAAACCTATGATACGCGTGTCAGAGGTGACACGCAAACTCATTTTTTTGGTTGATTTTTCTTTGTTAAATGGCATTTAAATATATAAAATAAATATCAAAAATATAAGTCTTTGTTTTACTATGGTTGCAAATATCAAAAAATTTCTATATGTGACACGGCACCAGAGTTAAGTTAGGGTTTTTCAAAATGCTGACACGCCGAGCTCAAAAGGTTCGCCGTCACTGGGCTAGAGCATCAGCCTGCGTACTGAAGGGTCCCGGATTCATATCTGATCAAGGGCTTATGCATGGGTTGCAGGCTTGATTCCCAGTAGGGGGCATGCAGGAGGCAGCCAATCAATGGTTCTTTCTCATCATTGATGATTCTAACACTCTCTCCCTCTCCCTTCCTCTCTGAAATCAATAAAATATATATTTTTTTAAAAAGAAATGTTCTGATTAATAATCTGAACTGAAGAAACCATTATATAGGGATAAAAAGATTATAATTTTAGAGAAATATTTGTCATTTGTTGTTGTTAATCCTCACCCGAGGATATTTTTCCATTGATTTTTAGAGAGAGTGGAAGGGAGAGGGAGAGACAGAAACATCAATATGAGAGAGTCACATTGATTGGTTGACTCCTGCATGCTTTCCAGCCAGGGCTAGGGATCATGCCTGCAACCGTGCATGCGTGCCCTTGACCAGAATCAAACCTGGACCCTTCAGTCCACGAGCCGACCCTTTATCCACTGAGCCAAACCAGTCAGAGAGAGAAATATTTGTCTCAAATAAAACTGAGCTTGGAAGCTGAAACCATGGGTTCTAATTCTACCTTGCACTGCTTTTCAATTAATGGACTCCTAGCAGGAGGTTGGGAGACACTGCTGCTGCTTACCTTTCCCCGTTAAATAGAACCACCACATGAACTGAAACCATTTTTTCCAGCAAGGGTGGCTCCCACAGGTAATCATTTTCTAGCCTTTCTTGCAACCAGGGCACTGATAATATGACCCGCCCTAGATTTTGAATGAAATGAGTCACGAAGAAGCCAGGACTGATGGTGGCAGCATGACAGCTTGGTGAGGTTGGCATTGTTAGCTGCAGGGTCTGTGCCCACAGGCTGTGTTAGTAGAGTCTTTATGCTTCTAGTTCAGCGGTATGAATTGGTTTTTCCACCCTCCTGGAGATTTTACTAACTATCCATTATCCTTCAGTAAATTCATTTTCTTCTTAAATTAGCCAAATTTAGTTTCTGTTGCTTGTATCTTTAAGAACCCTGCTTGATGAGGAAATTCATACCCTGAAGTAGTTATCACAAAGAGACCATTAGGGAAAGGAAGGAAGAGGAGGAAATCTGAGACTCATTATAGTGCCTGGATCGCTTTCCAGGCAGCAAAATACCAGTTAATTGTAAGGGATAAGATACTGCCCGTCCATAGCGGATGGTGACCAATGTTGTGAAAGCATGTTAAAAAGACACTCTATGGCAAAAGGATATGTGCTGATTTGGGGGCAGCCCAAAGGGTACTGCATTGAACATTTTTATTCTTTTTCTTCACTTTTTTCTGTATTTGTGGAACCTCTTACCTTATGAGGCAGAGCTCATCTTCCACTGTGCCTGGCTCTTCCCTTTGGACCCATCTTCGAGGCCAGCAAAGAAACGCAGCTTCCCCTGCCCTGGCCTGCAAGACCCTCTCCAGGGAAGAGGCACTGGGTGCTGGTAGCTTCAGCAGCAATGGCAGGCCACGCCTTAGCCTTTTCTGCGTACCAGGGATGCCACAGAGGGCCTTCCTGCACCCGCATTAGTGGCCTTGACTTGGAACTCACCGCAGACAGCTCTGCAGGGAGGCGGAGCAAAATGGAGGGAAATGACTGTCTGCCCATCCCCCTGTGTCTACTGAGGGAACAGGTGCATCAACAACTCTGAAACGCCTGGGAGGGGCAGAGAGGTGTCTGGACTGACTGATGACTTTTGATTTTCTGGCTTTAGCCTGAGGCTGTTATAAGGTGTATACAGGAGGACAAAGGAGAAACACCTAAGGGGGAAGTGGAGGGAGAGCTTCCAGGAGAAGGTGGTATTTAAACGAAAGTTAGCCAGGTGAAGGGGGGTGGGGGTAAGAGAATAAACAGAGAACCCCAAGTAGTTCCATAAAACCAGAGGTGCATGAGGGAGGAGACAGAAGAGGACTAGAGAGAATTAAGATCGGAAGGTTGTTGAGTGTATTACACATAACCTGACACTCATGTACTATGTATTTATTCCCTGATTCATCTTAGAACGAGCCAAAGAAAGGATGCTGTGTTTGATAGTCTCTTTGTGGGCTGCTAAGTGTTGGGAGATAATTCTCCATAGGTCTCCCATTTCTGTGTATCCCTGGGGCAGAGACACTGATAGCTTTTGTTCCAGATTATCTTTATTTGAGAGAGAGAGAAACATCAATTTGTTATTCCACTTATTTATGCATTCGTTGGTTGATTCTTGTATGTGCTCTAACCAGGGATCAAACCCGAAACCTTGGCGTATCAGGATGACCCGGCCAGGGCCCAGATGATCTTTTCAAGGATGTTTATATAGCCAAGGGCCTTGGAAGACAGATAATGTCTCCCACTGAAGCAGAGGCAAGTTTATTAATTCTACATTATAATCAAGAGCATGTCTTCCTCCAGTCAAAAGTTGGGTTCCTTCCTTCCTTCCTTCCTTCCTTCCTTCCTTCCTTCCTTCCTTCCTTCCTTCCTTCCTTCCTTCCTTCCTCTCTTTCTGTTGTTAATTCTCACCTAAGGATATTTTTTCCTTTTTTTTTTTTTAGAGAGAATGGGAGGAAGGGGGGAGAGAGAAAGAGACAGGGAGACAGAGAGATGTGAGAGAGACACATCGATTGGTTGCCTCTGGCATGTACCCCAATGGGGGCTGGGGATCGAACCTGCAACCCAGGTATGTGCCCTTGACTGGGACTCAGACCCAAGACCCTTCAGCGAACAGGCCGATGCTCTAATCACTGAGAAACACCAGCCAGGACAAAGGTTGGGTTTCCTAAGCTCAGAGATTTTCAGCTGTGAGGCAAAGCCTCTGTGTGCATGGCATCTGTCTGGATGACTTCACATTATTTGGGGGGGGGGGGTAAAGAGAGAGGGGGGCAGAGGGTACCAATCAGAACATGAGGCTTGTGCTGCTTGCTGCTGTTGAAGAAGGGGCCACATGCTAACCTGACAAGCTCAGGGAAGGCCTGCATGGCAGTCTTGCAAACTCAGAGACCTAAAGTAACCACAAAGGATGGTCTGAAATTAAACTTTAACTAAAAGTGGGTTAAAGTTTATGGTGGGTAGTTATGTCCTAGGCCCATATCTTCACTGACATAGTCAACCTTTACCTTAACTGAGCCTATCTATCTTTTTGCATCTATGATAACATATCTTTGAAATGTCTGGGTAACTTGTAACTTCCCTTTTTCCGGATCCCTTGGGACACACAACCTAATGTGCCTGGATGCCAGGACAGATGCCACAAATTCCTTCATTGTTATTGTTATCATGTTCATTGTTGACTGTTAACTATCCTGCACACACATAAGTATGTGTCCATCATTTTACTTTTTATCCAATCCCAGAGGTCCATCACCCTCCCCCTTTGCTTTCTCCCACCTCTCTAATCTACCACCAATGGATTTCATATAACCCACCTACATCCCCTCCTTTGATTGCAATGTATAAAAATAGATGAAAAAAAATGCTATTCTCTAGAGCATTATCCCAATTCCCAGCAACTGTCGACAGTTTGGCTCAAAAAAACTCACAAAAATTCTTTACAGGTTTTTACGTTAACATTGTGCTCTGAGCAATACAGTCCTTTGCCTCTGAACCAAGATTCTTCTGTCTTCTGTCACCAATGCCCCTGAAACTGTGGCAGGCTAACCCTTCATAGCTCTTGATACTGGGAGTTTTGTTCTTTTTTGTTGTTGTTGTTCTTTTTTTTTTTTTTGAGAAGCAAAAAATTAGCTTTGGGCCTGGCTTTTTAATATATACCCTCAGAGTCAATGAATCTTATCCCCACCTGTGCCCTGGTGCAGTCCTAGCTGAGACAGGGTTTTAGGTCAGTTGACTGATACATATCCTTTCCAATATTAATATGCTTTGGCTTGTGAATCTGAGCTTTCTATGGAGGGAAATGGCAACCAAATCAAAGGTGAATATTTCACTGATATAAATACAAATGCAAAGCAGCACCTGGGTTCCAAGCCAAGTAGTACCCAGCTTGCCATATGGAATAACAGGCTATTGGCTCAAACTGCAAAAAGGAACACAAGCCACGTCAAAACCTGAAAATTAGTCTGCTACCCAAGAAGGAATGACACACAGATAAATCTAGCAATGCTCACTTTGGGGATGGACAATAAAATAAAACAAAAAGCTCCACCTTGTTAATCTCTCAAGTATGTACTTAGTCAAATTATCAAAATCGTAGCTCTGAGTTCATGCAATTCAGTGTTTAGAAGCAAGTTGTTAACTTTGAGGACTTTAGCTTTCTGTTTGATTAGTGGGATTGGTCAATATACTCCACCAATTTATAGAAACAAACTACTTAAACATTTTAAATTAATAAAGAGAAGATCACTGTAAAGGACCTTTTAAGTGATACATATTTCAAAGTATTTTTTTTTAATTTTTAAAAAAAGTTTTGATTTTAGAGAGAAAGGAAGGGAGGAGAGAGAGAAAAACATTGATGTGAGAGAGGAACATTGATCAGTTGCCTCCCACAGGCATCGCAACCTGGGTATGTGCCCTGACCAGGAACCAAACCAGCAACCTTTCAGCATACAGGGCGACACTAAACCAACTGAGCCACACCGGCTGGGGTGAAAGTATCTTTAATAACAAAAACCATCCCTTCAAAAATATGACTAATAGAATGAAATTAATGAAGATGTAATACTTGTTATATGACTTAACAAAATATTTCTTTGGTGAACTAGCAAATACTTTTGGCTTCTTTTATAATTAATATTTGTAAATAATTCAGATAGATACTGAAGAAGGATAAAGAGCTGGAATTTTGGTGTGTCTCTGGGGATGCACTTTATCCAAATATGGCATTATCTGAAAAATAAAAATAAAAGTATTTGTTATATAACTTATAATTCATTTCATAGTTTCTTAAATAACCCTGAGGGCAGAGAGGATGAGTACTGTTTCAAAGATACAGCAAGTAAGGTTTAGAAACACTAAGTGACTGAAAGTATAAGATTAGTCAACGGCAGATGCAGGACATGAACCCAAGTGCAATGGACTGAATGTCTGTGTTCCTCCCCCACAAATGTCTATGTTGAAACCTTGATCCCAGTGTGATGGTGTTAGAAGGTGGGGCCTTTGGGAGGTGATTATGTCATGAGAGTAGAGCCCTCACAAATGGGACTAGTGCTCTTATAAGAAGAGGCCAGAGCACTAGCTAGCTCTTTCCGCCATGGGAGAGGACACAGCCCGAAAGCAGCCCTCTATAAACCAGGTAGAGAGCTAGCACCAAGCACCTGCCCTGACGCTCAGATCTCAGGCTCCCATCCTCCAGACCCGTGAGGAAGAAACTTGTCGTTTAAGCCAGCAGTGTACACGTTTTTTTATAGCAGCCCAAACTAAGATACCCAAGTTTTCTGTTTTTAAGGCTAGTGTCTTTCAGTAAGATTGCCCCTCTTTTGGTGTTCACACCTCTAAGTGGACAATTGAAGAGAGAGCGTGAAAAGGGGTGGTAGGATGTTGGAAAGTTTTACTTAGATAAGGTGATTTCTGATTACTTGGCTTTTTAAAAATTATTTTTTTATTGATTTCAGAGAGGAAGAGACTGGGAGAGAGAGAGAAACATCAATGATGAGAATCATAGGTTGGCTGCCTCCTGCACGCCCCCTACTGGGGATCAAGCCCTCAAACTGGGCATGTGTCCTGACGGAATCAAACCGCAACCTCCTGGTTCAAAGGTCACCACTCAACTGAGCCTCAACCTGATGAATTGGCTTTTGAAGGAAGATCTGAATAAATTGAGGGAAGGAAAGAGAGAGAGAGAGAGAGAGAGAGAGAGAGAGAGAGAGAGAGAACCCAAGGTAAAGGGAACGGCATGTGCCAAGTCCCTGAGGTGGGAACCAGAGTGGTACATCCCAGAAACAGGAAGAAGACCATGGTGACTAAGTGGGATGAGGCCAGGGAGAGTAGAAGAGAAAAGCTGAAAAGATAAGCACACAGGATAAGGAGGGGATTTTATCCAGTGTGGTGTGACATCATGGGTGAGTCCTGAGCAACAAGTGAAGTATCTAATATATGGGTTGTTTTTTTTAAATCACTCAGGCTGTCATGTGAAGAAATACATGTGGGAGGTGGCAAGAGCAGAGGCTGGGGACAGATGTGAGGCCCTTGCTGTACTTTGGGGGAGAGATGACCCTGGGTTGGCTCTGGGTGGTAGCAGTAGTCAGATTCAGGACTGATTTTGAAGGAAGAGCTGACAGAACTTCCTGACAGATTGGATGTGGGATGTCAGACAAAGAGGGGAGTCAAAGGTATGACTCGCTCTATGGCCATTTTCTGAGATGAGGAAGGGTCAAGGGTGAGTAGGTTGTGGGGTGGAGGATAGGAATTCTGTTTGGGCGATGGTAAATTTCACATAACATCAAGGAGAGGTGGCAATCTGATACATGCTATCTGATAGATCTGTCCAGAACTCAGGAGAAAGGTCAGGGCAGAAGCAGAAATGCGGGAGTCCTCAGACTAGAGATGAGATTTTGAGTCCTGTAACAGAGCGGGACTGTCTGGGCTGAGATCACCTAGAAACCACGGGTAGATGATGAAAGAGGGCCCAGTATTGAGTGCAGGTGTTCTTCAGCATTCAGAGGACAGAAGAGGGCCATCCTAATAAAGGGGATGCTATTTTATCATTAATGATGTTTACTATTTGATTCATTGCGCATTTGTTGAGGGTCTACTAGAGTACTGTAATGTTCATCAAATTTGGGAGTTAACGTTTGCAAACGAGGGTTTTCTCGTTGCATCTGCTGGCCTCTGGGGGAAGGGGGTGCTCTTAGTCTAGTGGGGCAGGCCCAAACTCGTGGTGTGGATTGGGCTAAGTTCTCTCTTGGGGTGAGTTCACCTTTGACTGCTTTTAAGCCAATGCCTCCAATATAGATTTGCTTTCTGCTGGGGTCCAATCCCAGCGGGTCCAGGGGTCCCCAAAGGTGTGGACGGAGTCGGCAAAGAAGGAATGACACGAAGACAGCCTTCAGTTGATCAGCAGCCTAGTCAGGACCTCTAGCCAGGATCTCCAGCCAAAGTTCTGGTCGGAGTTCTGGTTAGGAACTGACGAGGATCTGATGTTTATTGTCTTGTTACATCCGTATTTATACCAGCCGATTTTAATCCTGTCAATTTCTATTACAAAGGTTAGGGTGTTTCTTATCTCCATTCCAGGGAGTAAAGATTATGTAGCTTAACTACCCGCCTGGCACTTAATTAAGGGGTTGTATCTCCTCCCTAACCTCAGGGGAAAATCCCCACCTGGGAAACAACCTTTCTCAGAGAGGTGACCTTGGTTAAAACACATGGCGCTAAGGAGAGCAAACATATTAAGAACAATATGCTATATATGCCAGGTCCCTTGAAACATATGCTGTGCAGATGTTTCTTTCCTGCAGCGACTGTGTCAAGCAGCAACGATGGACCGGCTTCCGGCAGCTTTCCAGCAACAAAGCCACCATTTTTACCTCCATCTATCTCTCAGTCGATGTAAAGCCAGATTAGGAGCAGAAGGGTATTATTGTTGACTTTTTCAAACCTCAACAGTATTCAGAATAAAGTAGACAGTCCAACAAATGTCAGGACTCTTCTCTAATACCCAGGGACTCTCCACTTGTGGAGATAAAAAGAAAATATGCCGAAACCGGTTTGGCTCAGTGGATAGAGCGTCGGCCTGCGGACTGAAAGGTCCCAGGTTCCATTCCGGTCAAGGGCATGTACCTGGGTTGCGGGCACATCCCCAGTGGGAGATGTGCAGGAGGCAGCTGATCGATGTTTCTCTCTCATCGATGTTTCTAACTCTCTATCTCTCTCCCTTCCTCTCTGTAAAAAATCAATAAAATATATTTAAAAAAAGAAAAAAGAAAATAAGCCCTCAGTATTCCCAGACCACCCTTTAAGAACTACTAGTTTAGACTAATTAAAGAAAGACCATGGATTCCCATACCGATTTCCATAACATTTACATTAGGTTTGTACTTATCCAGCATCTTGTCATCATAAAGTTGAGTTTCTGTTTAATTCTGTTCACTTAAAAGGAACAAAGAGCTTTTCTGCAGTATTTAAAGGTTATTTTAATGTTCCAGAATTGTGGGCTTCTAGCCTCTATATCATGAATGTTGGTTATGGAAATTATATTTGTTAGACTCTGTTTTGTAGAAAACCATGTGCATTCATGTAAAGTGGTAAACTATGTCATAGGAGGTTGATTTCAATGTTCACTATTAAACTTGTGAGAATTAACCTACTACCTGTGACTTAACTCATCTAGCTCCAAGTAATTCAACCAGAATAAAAGGTAACACTAGAATTAGGAACACTAAAGGCATTCCTCCTAAACGAGTTACATTTTAATGTAAAATAAACACCTGACTGTTACAGATTAACTTTAACACACAATGGAGAACCTCACTTGTCCAGGCCATACTGTGTCATCCTCTCAACACCACCTACCAGGAGCGTGGGGCAAATGCAAAGTCACAGCCCCCTCATCAAAGAAGCTAAATTTCCAAATCGTCAATATGGCGACTCTTTTGTTTCTGGTCTAACTGAATCATGTGTTGGTTGTATTTACTATACTTATACTCTCCTTTTACTTTACTTTTCTTCTCTTTTTTTCAAATAAAGGAGAAAAACATCATCAGTTGTTTGCCTTGAATTAGAAACAAGTATTCACAATCAAGGTAGCTACCAGTTCCTCTTCTTCCTCCTGCAAAATACTACCCCCAGGGCACACCCTCACCCCAACCTCCGTCCACATTTTATTGTTTCTGGGGCCTTTTGTTTAATATTTGTCATCAAAATAATTTCCATTTTATCTCAACTTTGCACATGAAATTTTTGCAGAGGCAACAAAATTTGGCGAGATAGGCGGCCTCCTACGTTGTTGTGGTCCATTATAATGACCTTATCACAACTTTTCTCAAAATATGGTTCTCAGGCCATCAGCATCAGAGTCACCTTAGCCTGCGGAGAATGCAGGCCCCAGGACCCACCTAGAGCCTATATTAAATGAGGCCTCCTGGATGTTGCACCTAGGATTCTGTAGGCACAAGAAAATGAGAACCTCCATCAACTAGCCTCGTTGACTGATGCTTTGACTTCAGACAGGTTGCCCTTAAGCTATCCCAGAGCACCACTATGACATTCTCCCTAATTATACATATATCCCTCCTGTCGACTGGGTGGGAAGCCTACCCATAACATCTTACTTTTTGATGGAAAGTGCCTCTTCTCTATGTGAGCAAGGAGACTCAGTTTGACCCAGGAGCTCCTGCCACTGTCGGGCACAGGTTCTTTGGTTTGGGAATGAATATGGCACTTATAGGCACAACTGAAGTGCCTCCGCTGAGCTCTCAGTAAGCTGACTTGATTGCTTCTTTCCACCAAGCAGTTGGACTCACGCTTTTCATTGATCTCTTTCAGGAGACGTTGTCTGTCAACTTTGCATTTTATAATTGTTTCATTGGTCCTGTTTATAGTTGTCATTATGCTGACAGGCTAATCATGAGGTGCTTCTTCGTGTCCTGCAAAGAAATTAAAAAAAAAAATACCATCAGTTAGTTGCCTGATTGATCCAGAAGCCAGTACTGTTCACAATCAGGTGTGAGCCAGTCTTCTCTCTCCTCCTGCAAAATACCACCACTGCTGTCCTCACCCCACACCTCCCTCCATTTTTTATTACTGTTTTCTAAGGTCTTTTTTTGTTTGTTGATGTTTCTTCAGAGGGGAAAAAAAGTTTTATTTTTTAAAAAGGATATAGTAGAAGAATACATTTTGGTTTTTAGATACTATGCATTGATTCTTGCTTTTAGGGTATTTTGTTATTTCTTCTGATTATAAAAAAAATTTAAGAAAATACAGAAAAGCGTAAGGTAGAAAAGCTAAAATCACTCTTGGTCCAGAAACAACCAAATTCACATTTCGGATCTTTCTTTCACAATAAATATCCAAAGGAATTTTATTATAACAAATACAGAAAAAAACAACAACAGTAAATTGGCTATAGTAGAACATAAATTTTAAAATGTATAAAGGTTGTTAAGTACATAGGAAGATTTTGCTTGTTAGATCTGTACATTTGTCTTTTCAGGCATTTGAAGTGCTTAAAAATCAGATGTTAAATATACAAAGGAAGTTTAAAATATTTATAGATCTTGTGTTAACTAAATTTGTAAATGGACTGATTACTTAGAAGTGTTCAATCTATTCAACCTGGGTTAATTTCAGAAAAATAAGGGTGATCATTCTTGATACAAAGTAACTCAATTTATAAATAGCATATAATCAAAGGTTGGCAGAAAGGTTTTTAATGTTTTAATTTTAGAAAATCAGTATTAATAATCTCACATTAACATTACATATAGATGAACAGAACTTCCATGTAAATAACTATGGCAAACCAACCAGTGTGGCTCAGTGGTTGAGCATTGACCTATGAATCAGGAGGTCACAGTTCGATTCCCGGTCAGGGCACATGCCCTGGTTGCTGGCTCCATCCCCAGTGGGGGGCGTGCAGGAGGCAGCTGATCAATGTTTCTCCTTCATCATCTCTCATCTATCTCTCTCTTCCTTTCTGAAATAAATAAAAATATATTTTAAAAGTAAAATAAAAGACTATGGTGGATTAGATCAGCGATCTTCAACAGGCGTGCCACAAGTATTTTTAAAATGTGCAATACCTAACTGTTTCCAGTCTCCCTTGGAAAATCATTGGGCTCAGGCATCATATTCTCTCTTTTTAAGAAATACGTTTTTATTGATTTCAGAGAGAGGAAGGGAGTATCAGTAATAAGAGAGAATCATTGATTGGCTGCTGCCTGCACACCCCCTCCTGAGGATCAAGCCCGAAACCAGGGCATGTGCCCTGACAGGGAATAGAACTGTGACCTCCTGGTTCATGGGTCAACGCTTAACCACTGAGCCACACCAGCTGGGCAGATATCAGATCTTTCACAATAACTTTTGGAGTTTGAGCTCAGTATAATTTAGGAGCCCAATAAAAAGCAAATGACCAATTGACCTTTTTGCAGGTATAAATCCAGTGATGTTTGCTCACAATACAAAAGATAATGTACAACCCATCAGAAAACAAGCCCTTGGTATTCAAGTGATTTAAGTAAATAAGCAAAATGTCAATTACAAAAGTGAAAAGAGAAATGAGAAGATAACCTTCCTGCATTGGATCTTGCAAGATTAAATTGACGGAAGAGCCCTGGCCGGTTGTTCAGTGGTTAGAGCATTAGCCCTTGGACCAAAGGATTCAATTCCCAGTCAAGGGAAGGTACCTGCGTTGCAGGTTCCCCAGCCATGGTAGGGGCGAGTGCAGGAGGCAACCAATCCATGTGTTTCTCTCTCTCTCTCTCCCTCCTCCCTCCCTTCCACTCTCTCTTTAGAAATCAAAGGAAAAAATATCCTCGGGTGAGGATTAAAAAAAAAAAAATTGAAGACAAAATATTTTACACTCAATTAACACTAAAGAATTAAATTGACCTCAATAAGGCTAATTCTATTCCAATCACCAATTAATTACCCAGTGTCGTGGAAACAAGAAAATACGGTTCCTACTCAAGCCGTGCTAACACTAAGTTACCTTCACTCGGCCTCAGTCTCCTTATATGTTAAGTGTCAATAATACCCAACTCACATGGTGTCATAAGGATTAAATGAGAAGCATCCATCTTATATAAAAACTATTGTTTGAAATTTTAACCCTGCTATTTCTGGCTTCCGTAGATGCTTGCTGGCTTAAATAATAAGGAAAATAAGACTACTCCCATTTCAGAGAGGCCATTAAACCTTCCCCAGACGAAGTTATCAGTGCTGGCACCAGGCCAAGCCTTTGGTCGAGGTCTCAAAGCGCCAGCACATAGGGCCCTTTAAGAACTTGCAAAGGGAACCGGAAAAAACCCGTATTGGGGAGACAAAGAGGGTGAGATAGTATAAATACAGGAAACTTCCTGTGTGATTTCACCCAGAATTTGAGAGACATTTTCCTCTGGGCCTGCGCGTAATAAATGTAACTCCATCTCTCTAAGCGTCGCTCGGTTCTTCTCCGGTTTTTCTGTAACACTAATACATATCAAGAGCTTATTATTGCCAGCCCTCAATGAATGGGAATTTTAATACATTAGGTACTGTGGAAAAAAGGACTTGTTCAACTGGATAACAAAGTGATATTTTTGTTCCTGGGTTTGTCTGTTTACTTGTAGTGTGACCTGGACCAGCTACATAACGTAATGCAGAGCCAAGTGAAAATGCGGGGCCTCTTGTTCAAAACGCATTGAGAATTTCAAGCATTAAACCAAGTGTGGGGCCCTTCTGAGCACAGGGGCCCTACGAGAGTCTAGAGGACCCATGCCTATGAATCTAGTTGGCTCTGTATGTGCCCTGGCCGGTGTGGCTCAGTTGGTTGGGTGTCATCCTATGCTGGTTGGAATCTCGGTCAAGGCACAAGCCTGGGTTGGGTTTCAGGCTTCATCCCCGGTGGGGGGCATGTAAGAAGCAGCCGGTTTATGTTGTACCTTCGAGACAATGTTTCTCTCTCCCTCGCCCTTCTTGAAAAAAAAAGAAATTAATAAACTATTCTCTTAAAAAAAAATTAAGGTTGAGGTAACAGTTATTAAAAAAGAGTGGGGGGGGGTTATAGTCTCTTAAATGGAGATAAGTAATGGGCATAACCTATGGCTTTTAAAAGGACTTTGAATACATCCTTATTATTCATGGACTCCATATTTGCAAATTCACCTCCTCACTAAAATTTAGTTGTTACCCGGAAATCAATACTTGCGGCACCTTCACAGTTGTTCGCAGGCACGGGCAAAGAAGTAACACATTTGAGTCTCCCTGACGAGCACATCCCCAGCGAAGGTCAGTTCTCATACTGCAAACAAGTGTCCTTTTCACGTCTATTTAGCGTTACAGTTTTTGCACTTTGGTGCTTTTTGTTGATTTCACTGTTTAGAATGCCCCTCAAGCGCAGCCCTGCTGTGTGGTGATCCTAAGTACAAGAGGCTGTGATGGTTCTTATGGAGAAAATGTTTATTAGACAAGCTTTGTGCAGGCACCACTTCGAGTATCATTGGCCGTGAGTTCAGTTAATGAATCAACTTTTATGACATCATACTTAATATGTATTAAATGAGGGGCCTTTAAACAGAAACACACATAAAACAAGGTTATGTATTGATTGTTGACAAAAATGTTGTCACCAGAGGCTGGCAGGAACCTAATCCTGTACTTCCATCAGGAGCCAGGTATTTAGTATTTGCTAAGTCAGTGTTTGGGGAAACTTTATAGAACATAAGTACCACAACAATGAGAATCTACTGTATACATAGTCCTCCCTTATCCTGGGGGGATACATTCCAAGACCCCTCCCCTCAGTGGATGCCTAAAACTTTGGCTAGTACTGAGCCTTTATATACAATTTTTTTTCTATACATATATCTCTGATAAAATTTTAATTTATAAATTAGGCAAAGTAAAAGATTAATAACAATAACTAATAAAATAGCATAATTTTAACAATATATTGTAATAAAATTTGTGTGAATGTGGTTTCTCTCTCCCTCTCTTTCTCTCTCTGGAATTTTTTATTTAATGTTTTGGACTGTGGTCGATCATGAGTTAACTGAAACCATGAAAAGTGAAACCACAAGTAAATATATTACTGTTTCTTCAAGTACATTATTTTAAATTACCTTTAACATGCAGCAATCCAAAGCCTACTTGAGGTCCACTCATGCGGATCAGTCCATTGAGATGTTACCCTGGTGATGGAATGTTCTGATTGTGCCATTCCAACTTTGTTCTATTTATAGAATCCTGGTTAAGAGAAATTTTAGCCCTAGCTGGTTTGGCTCAGTGGATAGAGCATTGGCCTGTGGATCGAAGGAGCCTGGGTTTGATTCCGGTCAAGGGCACGTACCTCAGTTGCAGGCTTCTCCCCAGCCCAGGCCCTGGTCAGGGCACATGCAGGAGGCAACCAACTGATCTGTTTCTCTCTGTCTTTCCCTCTCTCTTCCAATCTCTCTAAAAATCAATGGGAAAATATCCTCGAGTGAGGATTAAAAAATATTAATAACAAAATAAATTCTTTTTTAAAAAAATATATTTTATTGATTTTTTGCAGAGAGGAAGGGAGAGGGATAGAGAGTTAGAAACATTGATGAGAAAGAGAAACATCAATTCAGCTGTCTCCTGCACACTCCCTACTGGGGATGTGCCCGCAACCAAGGTACATGCCCTTGACGGGAATTGAACCTGGGACCCTTCAGTCCACAGGCCGACGCTCTATCCACTGAGCCAAACCGGTTAGGGCCAAAATAAATTCTTTAAAAATAGAAGTTTTAGAGTCAGAGAGATCAGCCATGTGTCTTTGAATAGATTACTCAACATCTCTTAATATCAGTTCAATTTTAATCTGTGAAGTGGGATAAAGATACCTATTTCATTAAAGAGTGTGTGTATATGGGGGGAGGGGTTGACATGGGGAGGGAGTTAGAATTAAATGAGATATGCTCTTCACATTGTGCCCGAATCCGTTTATTACAAGTACTGATATTTCTTGAGCACCTATTCTGTGCCTGGTGCTGTCCTGCTACTTGGGACAAATGGGAACCTGCCTTTGTGGAGCCTATCTCTAACAGTTTTTAGTAGGTACTTAGCAAATGATAGCTATTTTTATTGATTTATTAAAACTTCATATTTTACTTGGAGA